CAATGTCCTGCTTTCTGCCACCTCAACCTCAACATCCTCCTCCTTTATCCTCTTCTTCTCATCCTCCTTTTCCCCTTCAAAAACCGATTCAGTCTCTTCCACTTTCAGCTCAACCTTCTCCTTCTGCTCCTCCTCCCCCCCTTCTCCCTTGTGGTACTGCAGGAGGCGGACATGCCATGCCAGGCTGCAGACAGCAGAAACTGTCTTGAACTGGTGGACCACATTGCGGGGGATGAAGTAGATGTCATCGTGGCACAGGCGGATGCGAGCATAACGAATGCCTTCCCGCCGCAGCTGGTTTAGTTTGGCGTCGTCCACCCACTGCACACACTGTACAGAGAGAGGGTGGGAAGACGGTTAAAGATGGAGGAGAGGAAGAAAATAGATGTCATAATACCATGAGAATAAGAATTTAAGCAGCAGAGGGCCATGCTGACTTAGATAAAGTAAACAAAAGGACATGCATCGCAAAACTGATTGAAAAAACAGTTACACGTCAGACATTAGAAAACAAATTTATTAAAATTGTTTATTAAGATTTAAATTAGCCTACATCCTTCCAGTTGTCTGATATGCACTGCTTCACAGGACACTGAGAAAACCGGCTGCATGAAGTTAAAAGGCAGCAGCCTCTTGCTAACATTTCTAGAGTTGTTTTGGTTTCCTTTAAGGATGCTGAGCTGCATTGAAATGGTCTGCGGGCTTGTTCCAATACCCAGGAGGGACATTTTGCTGATGCACGATTCAAAACTCACAGATTAAATAAATTCAAAATAAAATTCCTCTGCATAACGAGTCAGAACAGCAGCACCAAGACAAAATCTTGTTCTCTGAAGTTGCTTTTGATCTCCTTGAGTGCAGGTTGTACTTATGCAGTCTGCACAAGGGGAGCTGGAGTCTCTTTATCTCAAAAAGGAAAAGAAGCTACACAGACTGCAAAATCAAAGCTGACAGAAAGTACTAGAGGAACTTTAATGTGTTTTTTTTTAAAGAATTTGTATTTTTGTCTTTTTTTTTAAAAAAAACAGGTAAAAAAAAAAAGAGCAGTGTGTTTGTTGTTTTAGGTGAAGTTAGATTATGGTAAAAACGATAATGACTGTTTTGGCAGTAATTCATTAACTATACTGCTCAAATATTTATTTCACTTTAAATAAACATTTATCTTACGGGGGATTTTTCTGAAATTAAAATAAAATTCACATGATACATAAATAAATATGAAAAAACAGTTGGTGATCACAGAGGACGTCTGGCAGGGAGCTGGATCGAGACTAGTGATATTTGACATTTAATTCTTCCTCCACAGAAACACGTCTGCGGGTGCAGATGGACACAACAAGAAGCCTGGTTATTAATCAATTGGTGTGAGTTTCCTTCATTGATTTTGAAAAAAACAAATACCAGCAGCCAAAAAACAATCTGCATTTACAAGCAGCTAACTGTGAGGTGCAAAAGATCAGCATGGAAACAAACTAATCGAAAACTTCAAATTGCATCTGTGAACAGACCATTAAAGCTTGTTGCTCGTTACTTAATAATCTAAGTAACAAGGATTGCTAAGCAGATTAACCCGGTGAAATAAACTATTCTACATAAGCAAAAAATAAATACAGAAGAACTATAACTATAATTATTTACTATAGTAACACTTGTCTTTTCTTTTCTTAAGACAAACCTCTAGCTGAGGTTAAAATTGTCCACCGGGTGGCAGCATCCATCATCAGGTTTACACTCAGTTGATATTTTGGTAACACTGTATCCAATATGAGTTATTATAAAGGTCAATTTACTGGGAGTAATAGGAGTGAGTGAGCACAGGTGTGTGCGTGTGTGTAATATAACACCTGAGACAGCGGGGGTTCATGTAAGTCCAACTGCAGCCTCTGAACTACATAAGGGAAATCACCAGCGTGGAAACACACAACATCTTTGGTTACACGAGGAGGCTCCAAGCTGAAAACGAGCAAGGGGGGGAGGGAAGAGAGGAGGATTATATGATATCTGTCAGTGACTAAGCTGTGTAAATACAGAGCGTGTGTCACTTCCACACAGACGGCTGCTTGCAAAACTGTCTGACATTTACAGCGTGCGCTACTGTCGCTTCAACGCCTACCTTTCTACGGAGCATACGGCCTTCAGCACCCCCACGGCCGCTGTGGTTTGGCGCTCGAAACCCTGTCCGATGTGATCGGCGTGGGCTCGCGTCCGATCCTCGAACAGCATCTCTCTGGGCTCGCTGGTCCTGGGCAGGGACTGAAGCAGGTTCTTCACCTCATTTGCGGAGCTAAGAGAAAAAGCAGAGTGAAAAAGTAGAGAAAAACACAGCGTGCCCACACAGTTTGTGTTTCTCACCCCTGTCTGCTTCCCTGCTGTCTAAATAAAGAAGGAAATGACTAAAGGTGAGTGGGATGCTCACTCACCCAGGCTCTTTCTTTCCCGTCTGCTTTATAACAGCACAAAGAGACCTGCTACTGTTGCTTTTGTATTATCAGCATCAGCTAAGACAGAAGCACCTACAATAACAAATCAATCAGCCACAGGGATACACAGAGCGATACTGCCTTTAAATGATTTGTAAATAAGATGGATTTTACCACAATCAGCAACGAGTATTTATCTCGTCTAGTCTAAATTTTAAATGTTCAAATCCTGCCTGTCAAAGCGTTTACAACATATAATAAAGTAATAAAGACTGCTTTGTTTTTGGCTTTAAGGGGAAATAAATACAACAAAAATAATGAAATAAATAGATAAGCGATTCAAACATTGAACCACAATTTTGCAATTGGTGCCTCTGTAACAGCCAGCGCTGATGTCATGTTATACTTCGTTCCTCATTAGTTGGCAAAGCTATGACTTGGCCTAGATGCTTGCAGGTCAAATTTAAGACCTTTTTAATAACACTTAGAACAAAATTTTACACCAAACTTCACATCAAAAGTGAAAAATATGTTCTCTCCAAGTCAACTCATTAATGTCAGTTCAAAAGGAAGAGTAAGATAAAGTATTTAGTCTGTTACAGTAACATGTGTTTATTAAATATATATATGTTTGAAATTCCCTTAACAGCAGTGAAGTTTGCTCTGTTTAACAAGCAGGAACAATTGTTATTTGTGAGCCATTTGTCATGAAAGTCACATCTTTCCTTTTCTAATGAGCACGCTGGCTAACAAAGCCGTCATCATAGTCGTCCCCAGTGTTTCCATCAGTGTGTGCAAGACGGGCAGCAGGCCAGGCCTAAGCACTGGGGGAATTTTTGTTTATTTTAGTTTGCATTCATTTTCTGGGGAAAATCTTTAATTGGCATCACCACAAACTGTCCGTACACATATAAAAATATTCTGAAAGCTTTAGGTGAACAGGTGATCAATTACATCATGCTATCTAATTCTTTAGAGACCAAATAAATAAATAAATAAATCAAGTCAAATATTTAAGATCCAATCAAATTTAAGATATTTTAAGGACCCATAGACATCTTGTCTTTACTTTTGCCTCATCTTATCCAGTGTAGCTGGATCTAATCTAAAAATCCTTATCCTTGATCCACATGCTGGAATTTTTGTGCACAAACAGACCTCATATATTCTGCGTCAATAACTGTCATAAATGAAAAGGTGCTTCAACGAAGCATTAGTGTAAGAGTATGGACACATTTGCACTCGGCTTATAGCACGCTTTTTATTTTTCATATTGTTTCCTGTTACCGATTTGTTTGTTTTTCAATTGAACTAGACAGGTTACAGGTCACATTAAATGTGGGACACATTTTGAAATGATTTATTGTAGTCTCATTTTTAATAATCACAAAAATCTGGCATTTTATACACATCCACTGTATACCTCAACTATTAAGCCAGAACTTGGAAACTTCACAGCCTGAGGGTGAGCCGATGTAAACTTAACGAACAAGCAGGCGTGTTTGTTTTAAAAAGACTTACAACAACAAACAGATCCCTAAAAACTGCGCGTTATTTAATGAAAGCGTCAGCGCTCACAGTTAGGTAGTCAATACGTTTAATGTTTGATAGAAGCAGGATGAAAAAGGCGCGTTTCAGCCTGTGGCTTCAGTGA